TCGCTGCATGTTACAGGGGACAAAGGATTTCCATTTACCCAAAATGGCCCCCAGTTGCTTCTTAGAGCCTATAGTTTAAAGATTTAAAAATAAAGACAAATGTCTACAAATGAGGCCTGCACTGCCTTCTTTCCTCCTCCCTGCAAATGTGGCCGTTTAGAATTGCCGGGAGGCGGCAGGAAGCCCTGCATGCCACGCTGCTGTGCCAGATGTGGGGAACCTCTGGAAGCAGCTCCCGGCCCCTCCGCCCCTACGTGCCCACATGTCTCTCCCCAGGCAGTGAAACTTCAGCCCTGTACTGAGCACTGCAGGCTGAGCTGAGGGCTGTGCCTGTGGCAGGAGCCCCAGTCCTGGCAAAACCTCGAAGCAGGGCTGGGGGACGCCTCATTACTTGTGAGCTACAGCTCTGCAAGAGAGCAGAACAGGGGAGAGGTGGCTGCCCCGTGGCCGTGCAGCCCACAGGCGGCCTTGCCGTGCTTTTCTGTTGAACGAAGTTTGCTTGCAAGGCTGGAAACTCTGCGTAGATTCTCAGAGGGAGATGGGAGCTGCTCAGGAGCCGGGGGTGCCCTGCAGCCCCCCTGTGCTACGTGGTGCTGACGGCTGTGTCCTCTTACAGCTATGATCGAGGGGCCACCGTGGCCGGCGTGGTGGGCGTGGGGCGGCTGATCACCGGCATGGACCGCGGGCTGCAGGGCATGTGCGTTAACGAGCGGCGGCACCTCATTGTGCCGCCCCACCTGGGCTATGGCAGCATCGGCGTGGGTAAGGGCTGCGGGGTCGGGGGTCCCCAAAGCACGCGGCGGTGGGGATGGGCGATGGGCGCCCACGTGGGAAGAGCTGGGGATGGATGGATCTGCGCTGGGACTCTGAACAGCAAACACAGGTGGTGTCTGCACAGGGCTTTGCAGGGAGGGACAGTCCCTGCCCGCCACACTGTGTCACTTTCCATGGTGGGCACAGGGGGCTCACATCTGGTTTCTCTGCAAAGAAAATCTTATGGGGTGTTTGCGGCCCCCCAAATCTCAGCAGTCCCTTCCACAGACCCACAGGCAAGGCTTGACCTCAGACCTGCACAGGTCCTCATCCACCACTCCAGGCAGAAGCTGTGGGATGGGCTGTAGTGAACAAGGACCCTCACTGCCCCATTCAGTGGTGCCGTATGTGCTGCAGAGCTTTGTGTCCTTAGCACTGGTTGCTCCTCACCCTGTTCTGCGCTCTGTCCTCATTGCTGCCACTGTAGCGGGGCTCATCCCCCCTGATGCCACGCTGTACTTCGATGTGGTGATGCTGGACATCTGGAACAAGGATGACAAACTGCAGATCACCACCCTGGTCAAACCTGAGCACTGCAACCGCACGGTGGAGAACTCAGACTTCGTGCGGTATCACTACAACGGCACTCTGCTGGATGGAACCCCCTTCGACTCCAGGTATGGGGACAGCGCTCACCACAGCAGGCGATGGGGAGGTGGGGGTTAGGGTTAGGGTTAGGGTTAGGGTTAGGGTTAGGGTTAGGGTTAGGGTTAGGGTTAGGGGTGGCTTTGGGAGCCTGCTGCCGGGTTGGGGGGGCTGGCACAGCTCCAGAGCCATTTTCCTCATTTCTCCACATCAGCTACAGCAAAGACAGCACCTATGATACATATGTGGGCACTGGCTGGCTGATCAAGGGCATGGACCAGGGCCTGCTGGGCATGTGTGCTGGGGAGAAGAGGAGCATCATCATCCCACCATTCCTGGCCTACGGGGAGAAGGGCTACGGTAAGTCGGGTATCACCCACTGCCCCTGCCTGGGAAGTGCGACCCCCGTGTGGGCTGACCCACCCCCTCCACAGGGACCGTGATCCCACCACAGGCCTCGCTGGTGTTCAGCGTGCTGCTGGTGGACTTCCACAACCCCAAGGACGGCGTCTCTCTGGAGCACCTGGAGGTGCCGGCGTCCTGCAGGCGCAGGGCTGTGACCGGGGACTTCGTGCGCTACCACTACAACGGCACGCTGATGGACGGGACGCTCTTTGACTCCAGGTCTGGGGGGGAGGTGCTCACATTCGCCCCATGGCCAGCAGCGGGCTGCAAGGAGGTGTTGGGTTATCCAGGGGAATTGGGAGCGGAGGGCAGTAAGAACTATGAAATGGGCCAAAAAGGATCTTACCTGCCTGCTACATCCCTGGAGGAGGTTTGGTGCAGTGGGGGATGAGCGCATGGAACAGTTCTGTTGCCTGACAGCACCCTGCACTTCTCTTGCTGCAGCTACTCCCGCAACCAAACCTACAACACCTACATTGGGAAGGGCTACATCATCCCTGGCATGGACCAGGGCCTGCAGGGTGTCTGCATTGGCGAGCGCAGGCGGGTGGTGGTCCCCCCACACCTGGCCTATGGCGAGAACGGAGTGGGTAAGGGGCTGCAGGGGATCTGGCTGGGGGGAGCGCAGGGTGGGGAGGCATTGTTGGGAGCTCTGATGGGGAGCACTGCAGGCAGGGCAGGGGGGAGTTGGGTGGGCCGGGGCAGGAAGGAACAGAGCTGCAGGGGCCTGGTGCTGCGAGCTGTGGCAGCAGCAAGAAGGGCTTTACCTGCTCTGTGTGCTGCCTGCTCAGCTCTTCCTGCTCCTTTTCCAGGGAACAAAATTCCCGGCTCTGCTGTGCTCATCTTTGATGTCCACATCATCGACTTCCACAACCCGGACGACCCGGTGGAGATTGAAACCGTGCACCGACCCGAGGGCTGCAACGTCACCGCCCGCGACAGAGACTTCATCCGCTACCACTACAACTGCTCCCTGCTGGACGGCACGCAGCTCTTCTCCTCGTGCGTGGGCTGGCAGCGCTGGGCTGGAGGGCGCGGGGTCTGTGGGCACTGCGGGGTGATGTGGGCTGCAGCCTGGTGGGACCACGGAGTTTTCTCAGTCGCGTGGTTCTCTGTGCCCCCACAGCCACGACTACGAGAAGCCCCAGGAGGTGACCCTGGGGGCCAACAAGGTGATTGAGGGTCTCAACAGCGGCCTCCTGGGCATGTGTGTGGGGGAGAGGCGGGTGCTCATCGTCCCCCCACACCTGGGCCACGGCGAGAACGGAGGTAGGGATGGCACAGCGGTGCCTACAGCACGTGCTGAGGGCCTTCTGGAACCCTGTGGGGCTCCTGCACCTTGCTGGGGAAGCTCTCACCTCTGCACAGAGCCTTTCTGAGCTCCCCAGCAGCCCTCACTTGCTTTTCAGCCCGGGGAGTGCCCGGCAGCGCAGTGCTCCGCTTCGAGGTGGAGCTGATCTCCCTGGAGGAGGGGGTTCCCGAAGGATACCTCTTCATTTGGCACGGGGACCCTCCTGAGAACCTCTTTGAGCAGATGGACCTCAACAAGGATGGGCAGATCCCCGCTGACGAGGTGCCCACAGCGCGGGCTTATGGGTCGGGGGGGACAGGGAGGGCACAGGGACCCACCCAGGGAGCAGCACCCGAAGGACACTGCTGGCCTCGGGCACTGGGGAAGGGCTGGGGTCGGGCAGGAGGAATGCTCTGACGCAGAAATCATGGCTGGGAACAACGGGGCTGCGATGGGGACATCATCGTCTGCCCTCACTGTGCGCTCAGCGCAGTGCTGTGTCCCACCCATCCCATCCTCTGTCCCCGCTGCAGTTCTCCACCTTCATCAAGACCCAGGTGGCAGAGGGGAAGGGACGCCTCATGCCCAGCTCCGACCCCGAGAAAGTCATCGCCGACATGTTTGGGAACCAGGACCGCAACCAGGACGGGCGCATCACGGCCGAGGAGCTGAAGCTGAAGTCGGATGAGGACCGAGAGAAGGTCCACGAGGAGCTGTGAGACGCAGCAGCGCCGTGCCCACGCCTGGGACTGACCGCCCCTTGCCGGCCCGGGAGCCGTTTTCTGATTGATTTTTTCCCCCCTTTTATTTAACTGCATTTTTTTTCTGTCGTTCCTCACGGGCGGAACTCCGCAGCCCGCAGTTGATGCGCGCAGGCAGGAAGGTGGGAAGCGGCTCCGGGTGCCCGCAGCGGGTCGTCAGCGCAATACCCCCCACCTCCGTACTGCACCCATCGATCTCAGCAAATCCAGCAGGGCCCGCCCCCCCCCGGTGCCCTCCCTGCCCTCCCGCCTCCCGGTGTCCCGAGCTCAGCCCCACGCCCAGCTCCGACCTCTCTGCTCCTTCGTCCTCAGCCAGCGACTGCACGGCCTGCCGGGCCCCACGCAGGGACAGGGGAGCTCCCCCCACCTCCTTTGCAGTTTTACTGTAGTTTAGGGATTTTTTGTTTGTCCTGTGTTAGTTTTAAATACGCGCGTGTAAACTCCTTTAAAGGAGAAATAGAGCAGCCGTCCCTGCTGCTGCCTGCTGCAGTTCCCAGGAGCAGAGGTTGGAGGTTGGAGGCTCAATGCCCCAGGACAGCACTGCTGCTCCTCCACTGCTGCAGAGCTGCACGGCTGGGAGCAGAGCTGCCTGCCTCCAGGAGCAGCAGGCCGACCCTCATCCTCCTCACAGCAACGGCTGCTGGGGGTGCCAGAAATCAGCCCTGGTTGGTTCTGATGCCAAAATGCAACCCATTAACTCGGTGCTCTCAGGTTTGTGCCCAGCACATCCCCTCCACCTTCCCAACAGCTCTGGAAGCTTTTGCACAGACCTTGCAAAGAGAAAAAACGCACAGCAGAACTGTGCAAAGGGCAGAGCAAGCCCCGCAAACAATGACTTCTAAGTGGCACCAAATAAATAATTTCAAGTGGTTTCCAAGACGTTTCCCTTTGTGTCAGTTAGTTTACAATGGAACGTTCATTGCTGTTTGTCCCGATGGCATGAGGAGAACTCACCTGGGTCTGTGGAGCAGAGGTGGATTTCAGACAACGGCATCTGCTGCGTTGGGCAGGAGAAAAAGGAAGAGCTCTGCTGCCAGGACCCAGGCAGAGGGGTGGGGGACAGGGATGGGGCACAGTGGGATCAGGGGTGGGGAGGACACTTTGCTCAGGGCACTGCGCTCTCGGTGCAATGCACACACTGCAGCTTTAGTCAATGATTTTATTTCAATGAAGCAGAGATCTGCACTGCCCAGAAGTGACGTTTAGCAGCCCATGGTGTGGAGGGTGGCGAGTGAGCTGCAGGGTGAAGGCTGAGGTCAGAGCCCATGGAAACCCAGCAGAGCTGCCCATCATCCCCAGCACCCACCTCCTGGGGCTGCAGGACCACCCCACCCTGCTCTCTCTCCACAGCCAGGGCTCAGCCTGCACAGCTTGGGGCCACAGAAACCAGGATAAGAGCAGCAGTGCTTGTTTCCTTAGACAGGAATGCAGTAAAACCAAACAGCTTCAACTCCAACCAGGTCTGCCCTCAAGCCACAGCAAACGGTCCCTGTTTCTGTGTTTAGCCACTGGAGAGAAGCACAGAACATCCCTCCCCAGAACACAAATGTTTGCTGTGGCCCCGGTGCTGCTGGAGGCTGAGGAGGATGCGGAGTGCAGGGCGGGCTCCTTGCTTCCTCCAGATCAGCCCTTCAGCTCCAGACTGACCAGAAGAGCTGTGAGGTTTGGGACACAAAACAACAGCTGGGGCAGAGGGATCACCCCGGCATGGGGATGCATTCAGGCAGGTACCGGGACACCCGTCCAGCTTTGCTAAGGGTGCTCATCCCCCAGTACTTGGCTGACGGGCCGGGGTTGGGATGCTGCTGCCCGGCTCATGTCTCCATGAGGATGAACCGCAGAATCCCATTGACCACATCCAACGTCTCATCGCTCTCCAGCACGATGTCATAGGCGTCCAGGTATTTCCCCCGCCGCTCCTCCACCTGCAGCGAGGAGAAGAGCGCAGAGAGCTGTGAACAGCTGAGAATGGAGGTGCCATACCCACAGCCCTGCATCTCTTGGTGCTACAGAAAAGAGGGACAAAACCAGCTGACCGTGCCCAAAGTGCACCGGCAGCTCCGAGGGCCCTTATAGAAACCTAGAGCCCAACAGCAGCCCTGGCAAGGGCTGGAAGGCAGCAGGAATGCTGCTCCCCACACACCTTGTCGTTGAGGAAGCCAATCTTGAGGATGTTCTCCACACTGGGAACGCCATCTGCCATCGTCAGGTCGCCCATGGAGTCCCCCAGAAGGATGATGCTCGTCCGTGTGCTCAGCTGCTGGAAGTATGCAGTGCCCTGCAGCACACTGTTGTTCTTGTTGTAGGTGTGGATTAGAGGGCTCTTGAAGCACTTGAGGACTCCCTGTGCAAACAGGACAGGTGAACTGATTCTAAAGCAATCCCTACATTGTGCTGCAGCCTCAGCCCCCATTCAGAAGGAGGGAGAGGTGAGGGGCAACACGACAACAGCTCTCATCACTGTAGCACCGCCCAGGAGCCCCAGAATGCATGCAGTCCCCAAAAGATCTGCTTTTGTCAGGGCAAACCCAGACCGTAGGGTGAGAACAACCCCAAAGGATCTGGCAGATCTCTGTGCTGCCCTGGAGGGTCACGGAAAGCCAAAGTCCAAGGAGGCCCAGGGCACAGCGCAGCCCTTGCAGGAGTCAGGAGTCACACCCTGAGGACCGTCTGCCCCCGCACAGCCCGTGGGAACAGAGAGCTTCACTGTGCACAGTGTGCCATCTGCTAATGACAACTGGGACTTTTTAGGCTTCTGTTAACTCCACCCCGACCACCTGCTGGGCTGGGCATGGACCAGCACCAAACCTCGACAGACAGAACCCACTTCTGGCTTCCCAAAGTCAGTCTGAGGGATGAGGTGCCCACAGGACAGTGAGCAGATGCTCGGCTGCTGCTGCTCTCTGCCTGCAGGATCCTCCCAGGGCCAACGCTGCGCACTCCCCAAGCCCCAGCACTGCTGTACTGTAAGGGTGCTGCAGCCCACAGCACCAACACAGCCACCTCCCCCTGCTCTCTGCACACTCACATTGTCATCGAAGTCCATGTAGTTGGACACCACGTGGACATTGGGGTAGAAGACGTTAGCCTGACGGATAATCTCCTCGAGGATGTCACCAACACCAGCAGAGAAGATGAACATGGGGACGTTGTACTTATGCAGCTGATCAAACAACTCATTGAATCCATCCCTAGGACAGAAGTTGTCGTGGCAGTGTCACGTTTCCCTCTCCCAGCTCCGGGCAGTGTGGGCTTCGACTGCTCTCAGTGACAAAGCTCAAGTTTCTGCTTGGGACTTCCCAAGCAGAAATAACAGCAGTCACTCAAAGCACAGCTCCTGGCTGCAGCTTTCACAGCACTTTTGGTACCATATTTTAGTGCCTGAACCCCTCATCCTGCCAACCACAAAGGCTCAGAGTTGCTTGGGGACCCTTTCCCCACCAGGACCAGGGGTGGGCACGGCTCCAGAGCAGGAGGAGCTCTCTGGTGGTTAAACCCAAATCCCAGGAAGGAAGGGAGATTTGTATCTGCTGCACTGTGAGGCTGTGTGCAGATCGGAGCAGGTGAGCAGAGCTAGCAGACACCAGCTCAGCATCCCCCTGCCTGCCTTCAGGCCCTGGAGATGTGGGCAGCAATGGGGTGATGGGACAGGAAGGACCTTGGGTGTACCTCAGCATCACATCCGACTCCCTGACAATCTGGGCAATGTCTCCCTTCTGGATCTTCTGCTGTGACAGCAGCTCGTGGGCCCGTGTCCACCTAGAGAAAGGCAGCAAGGTGAGCATCATATTCCAGACCATCAGAAAAACAACAGCCAGGCACTTCCTACAGGAAGCTGAAGCCTTCACACTGCCATCCCAGTTGCCAGGAGGAGGTCAGGGGTGCCTATGAGATCCGTGGTTTTTGCTTTTTGTTTGCAGTGACTCAGAACTGTTCCTCAGCTGTGCCCACCAGCCACGGTCCAAAGCACCATCCTGAGTGTCTGTGCCAAGCATGTGAGAAATGGGAACGGCCTGTCTTAAAAGGGACCCTACAAAGGGTTCTTCATGCTTGGGCCCAGCTCAGGGGTGTTTCCTCCCATTCCCTAAATGCTCACCAGGGGTCAGGGCACAGCACAACAGCACTCACCACTCCACCATCAGGGGACGTTTCTCTTCCAGGGAGCGGTTGGGATCGATTTCGATGGGGTAGTAGTGGTGCAGCAGATCTTTTAACTGGAACGTTAGAAGTAAGAAAGAAGAGTTCGGATTGAACACTGAGCCTACAGAGACTGTAAACAGCAAAATCAGTATTTCTAAACTCCCCCAGAGCATCACAGTCCATAACAAAAACGTGACCAAAACCACTTCACTGAGCAACTTTGCCCCGAGCCAACCCGGGGATCTCTGAGGATCTCTGATAGCTCGGCTGAGGCTCATCTCAGCAGAAATGCTCCCAACAGATGGGCACACAAACCTCCTTCCTGCTCTTATCAGAGCACAAATGCCCGCAGCTACGCATGCAAATTCGTTTTCTCTTTTTAACTTTCCATTGGCTGAAATGCAGCCTAGGACCTCGCTCTGCTCTCTGCTCTCTGCCCCGGCAGCACTGCACGGCTTTTGCCCTCTGACGCTCGTTGCACAGCCCATGGCGATGCTGGCAGCAGTGGAGAACTTCACAAAGCAACACCCACCTTCTTCTTGCCATCCTCACTAATGACGTGGCTGTTGTCGAGGATATCTGCAAAGACAACAAAATGCCAATGTTACAGCACTTACAGAAAGGCTGCGAGCTTCAGGGTGCTGGCTTGAGACAGACAAGGAGCATCCGAGAGTCTCGGTGGCAAAGCTGGAGCACAGACACCAGGAATTCCCTCCTGCCAAGGGCTTTGGGCTGCTGGGAGGAGAGGGGTGCACCAGAGAACAGACACAGAAAGCAGAAGGAAGGGCCACAAAGCAACAGCAGGGCTGGAACTCACTGTGTGACGTTGGGCAGCGCCGGCCATTGCACCCAAACCTGCTCAGCGTCATGTCGAAGTCAGAGATGACCTGAAGGGTGGGAGAAAGATGGACTGTGGTGACCCAACGCCCTGCTGGTGCAAACATCACATGGGTGCATCCCACACAGACCGCAGGGCTGCAGTGAGCACCGGGGCAGCCGGCAGGCAGGCAGGCATCCAACGGGGCACAACGCACCCAGCTGGGACCGGGCACCTTCCCACCCCCCACCCCCATCCGTATCCCAGCAGCCTTATCAGCACCACAGGGCCCATCCCTCCCGGCTTGTGCTGTGTGTGGAGGGCGACGTTTGGGGACCGGCTAACGTTTACAGCTTGCATAAGAGGGAAGCAGGAGGCCAGGCCACCAAAACCACCGGGCTCTCGGCTCGTCCCCCCGCACCCGCAGCGCAGCGCACGCGGTACCTGCAGTTTGCTGCCGCCCTGCTCCTTGATGGCGCGGATCAGCCCCATGACGCGCTCCGGCTGCTGGATGCGGACCGTGGTTTTCTGCAGCTCCGGCACCTGCGGGCACAGCGCTGCTTCGGATCCCCGCAGCTCCGCCGCGCTCATCTCCCCCTCCCGCAGCGCAGCGCCCCGCTCACCATCTCGCCGTGCCGTGCCGTGCCGTGCCGTGCGGTGCCGTGCCGTGCCGTGCCGTGCCGTGCGGTGCCGCTCAGCCGCGGGGCGGAGCAGCGCGGTGCTGCCCGTGGCCGTTCGGTCCCCGCCCGGCGCAGCGTCTCCTCGTTCCAGGGAGGGCCCCGCCCCGCCCCGCGGTTGCGTTTCCTTCGCTGCTCGCTCTGGAGGCGGAAAGCGAAAGAGAAAGATTAAAAAAAAAAAAAAAAAAAAGCACAACGACGTGGCGACGAGCTGATCACAGCCACAGCACCGCCGCGGCGCTGCCGAACGAAACAAAGCGGCAGCGGGGCAGCGCCCGCCCGGCACCGCGCCGCGCTCACGGGCACTGCCGTGTGGAGACGCCCGAGGGCTCCGAAGGGCGCCGAAAGCCTCCGAAGGGCGCCGAAAAGCTCCGAAGGGCGCCGAAAGCCTCCGAAAGGCTCCGAAGGGTGCCGAAAGGCTCTCAGCCCGCGCCGCTCGCTCACCGCGTGCCGATGTTCGTTCGTCCGACGTCCCGTCCCGTCGGAGCCGTGCGGGCGCCGTGCCGGCAGAAATGGCAGCCGCGAGCGGCAGCCGCCTGCGGGCCGTGCGCGGGGCCCAGGCCGAGGCGCGGCGTGGCCCCGGCGCCGAGCATTACTGAAAGCTCCTCAAACCAAAGCGTGGTTCGGGAGAAGCTCGCGGTGGTTTCTCGCAGCGCTGGGTGCGCGCAGGGCGGAGGGATCGCCGGCAGCCATGAGGAGCCGGGAACACGCCCAGCGCCAGCAGTGTGACCTCACTGGGGGCCGATTCCAGACCCCCACGGGGAAGTTCCGGAGAAGATGTAGGAGGACGAGGCGAAAGCGGCCCCCGCGCAGCTCCTCCCGCCGGCCCGGGCTCCGACATGGACGGCAGCGCGGCGCACAGCGGCTGCTCCGCCTCACTGATGGAGAGGAAGATGAGCGCGATGGCCTGCGAGGTGTTCAATGAGCTCCGCCTGGAGGGGAAGCTCTGCGATGTGATCATCGACGTGAACGGCTGTCAGTTCAACGCGCACAAGAACATCCTCTGCAGCTGCAGTCATTACTTCAGGTCAGCGCTTGGGATGCTCTGTAGTGGGAATAGGGACGAGTGACATTCCCCGGTCGTCCTGTGGTGCCTCCGGTGCTACAGCCCGAACGTGGTGCAGGGAGGAAGGTGTATGGCATAGCGTGGTGGGGATTCAGTGCAGAAAAGCCATTTCTTCCTCCAGCATTGCTTTGCCTTATATTTTTTTTTCATTATTTTTTTGGTCAGGGCTTTGTTTACCAGTGGCTGGAACAACATGGAGAAGGTGGTGTACAAAATCCCTGGCATTTCCCCCGAAATGATGAAGCTCGTTATCGAGTATGCCTACACCAGGACAGTATCGATCACTGCTGAAAACGTTGAAAGCTTGCTGGGCACGGCGGATCAGTTCAACATCATGGGCATCATCAGGCTGTGCTGCGAGTTCCTGAAATCACAGCTGTGCTTGGAAAACTGTATCGGCATCTGCCGGCTCACAAACCATTACCACTGCCCCAGCCTGCGGCAGACAGCCTACATGTTCATCCTCCACAACTTTGAGGAGCTGATCAAGGTGTCCACGGAGTTCCTAGACCTCTCCATTGACGAGCTGACAGACATAATTGAGAAAGACGAGCTCAATGTGAAGCAGGAGGAAGTGGTGTTCGACGCCATCCTGAAATGGATCACCCACGATCCCTGGCAGAGGAGGCAGCACATCCCCATCCTGCTCAGCAAGGTCGGTCCGGTGGGCGCCAAGAGCTCTGCACAGCTCTGCACTGCTCCGTCCTCACCACCACCGCCGTGGCACTGCTCGCAGCGTGTCCATGCTGCTATGAGCTGCTCTCAGGGCATGCAGTTTAAGTGCATTGTTTCTTCACGCTTAGAGCTTATGTTTAATCATCCCTGGGTGGAAGGAAGAGCCCAGCAGCGCGTGGGGCGCCTTATCTCCGTGCACACAAAGCTGGTGTGTTGGGCTCACCAGCTGTGCTGTGCAAACAGCTTCAGGCTGAGTGCTGTGCCACAGCTGGGCAGGTCTCACTACATCGAGCTGCTTTTACGCCTGCAGCCTCTTTATGGGGAAGTGAAAAACTACACCTTCAATTCTCCACTTCTCTCATAAGCCTTAGAGAATACTCTAGCCCAAAATCCAGGCCATCCAGTGCCAGACCTGTCCACAAAAGATAAGAAAATACAAAGCATCAACAGTGACCTTTTACATTTCAGGTCCGGCTGGCACTGATGGAGGCAGACCACTTCATGAACAAAGTCAAAACACACGATTATGTGAAGGACAACAGTGAGTGCAAACCCATCATCATCAACACTCTGACGGCCATGTACAACCTCAGCACGAACAGCGCGTTTCTCCCTGACAGCGTCAGTCCCCTCGCCCGGCCCCGCCTGCCCTACTCCATCCTGTTTGCTATCGGGGGCTGGAGCGGGGGCAGCCCGACCAACGCCATCGAGACGTACGACACCCGTGCGGACAAGTGGGTGAATGTGACGTGCCATGAGGAGAGCCCCCGTGCCTACCATGGTACTGCGTTTCTGAAAGGCTTTGTCTACGTCATCGGAGGATTTGACAGCGTGGATTACTTCAACAGCGTCAAGCGGTTCGACCCGGTGAAGAAGACGTGGCAGCAGGTCGCTCCCATGCACTCACGGCGCTGCTACGTCAGCGTCACTGTTCTCAATGACTTCATCTACGCCATGGGGGGCTTCGATGGGTACACGCGGCTCAACACAGCCGAGCGCTACGAGCCGGAGACAAACCAGTGGACGCTCATTGCTCCCATGCACGAGCAGAGGAGCGATGCTGGCGCAACCACGCTGTATGATAAGGTAAAAGGCTGGGAGATCTGCGGCTGCAGTTAAGGTTGAAGCTCGGTATGCAGGGCAGGGAACAAACATCGTAGGGCGTGTTGGGGCAGTTTCACAGCTCAGCCTCCCACTGAGCTCTGTCATGGATAAACACAGCTACCGCCCAGGGCTCAGCATCAGATAAGAAAGAGGAGCTGTGGGAGCCAGACGCACAGCAAATGCTCCTTTCCATCAGTCTTTTCAGATAGAGGAAGAAGGTTCATGTAAACCTTACTCATCAGATCCCGCAGCTACAGATAGAAAGCTAAGAGGTGGAACTTACTGGCACAGCAGTGCAGACAGGAGCAGAACTCTTCTAGAACCTCTTCCCACCAACAGCCAGCTTCCTGCTGGACACATTGAATGCTGTGCTGGTGTGCTTCACGCAGTGCAGGAAATGAAGGGTCAAAATCCCACTTCCCTGAGTAATTCCCTTCACTTTCACCCCAGAATGATAGGGCTGTCCCCTTAAAGAAGAAAACCACCCCAGACAGCCCATTTTACCCTCAGCACATTCTCCCACAGCCACCCTGCTTTTTTTTCCTCCTGTAAACAGGTGTATATATGTGGTGGGTTCAATGGAAATGAATGCCTATCCACAGCTGAAGTATACGATGCTGGAACAGATCAGTGGACCTTGATATCCCCAATGAGAAGCAGAAGAAGTGGAGTGGGTGTGATTGCGTATGGAAGCCAAGTGTATGCGGTAAGGTCGAAGTGGCAACTCGGCCGTAACGAACCCACGCTGCTGCTACGGTGTTTGTTTGTTTCATGCAATGAAGTTCTGTTAATCTGCATTTCCTAGACTAATTTTCACACTGACCATTCACTTCTAAGTGAGATTTAGGGAAGAAAGCTGAAGGCAAGAATGGCTGAAATCCCCTGTAGAATACTGTCACCCTCACACTTTTCATTATGAAAGAATAAGTACACAGCACGTAAAGAGTTGCAGCAAAGAAATGATTCTGCTGCTGATAAAAGCTTTTAGCAGCACAGCGCTGCTTGGTCCTGCTTATCCACATGCTGCATTTAAGCTCAGTGTAAATGTAAAATCTGACAAAAATACTTCTGGATGCTCCAGAACGAACAAGGGAGCAGTCTGCAATAAGAAAGCACTGCATTTTGAGGCCACGTGCTCTCACAGCGCTCCAACTAACGTCAGCAAAGTAGGACAAGTTAAAATCTTACATGTGCACAACACGATTCAGCTGCCTCAGCAAGAGGAAGGGCCTCTTTCAACACTGTGCCTTTGACATTCACAGGTAGGAGGATTTGATGGAGTCAACCGGCTCCGGACTGCAGAAGCCTACAGCCCAGCTGCCAACACGTGGCGCGTTGTCCCCACCATGTTCAATCCTCGCAGTAACTTTGGCATTGAAGTGGTGGACGATCTCTTGTTTGTGGTTGGTGGCTTTAATGGATATGCCACGACTTTCAACGTTGAGTGTTACGACGAAAAAGCTGACGAGTGGTTTGATGCTCAGGACATGAGCATCTATCGCAGCGCTCTGAGCTGCTGTGTGGTGCCAGGGCTATGCAACGTGGGGGATTACGCTGCCAGAAGAGATTGATGTGGAGCCCTCACAGCAAGGAGAGGTCAGAGGCACTTCTTCACCGAGCTCCCTGCCTGCACAAACAGCTCCAGTTAGCTAATAAAGTCTTCTAAGCAGCCAAAGAATGTATTCGCTTAATCTAAAAGAAAACAAAATTGATTCTCACTAAAAGAATAATTAGCAACTGAAACTTTCATTCCATGGCACAAAAAAAAAAAGACCGAAATGTGATTTAGAGGTATTGGTTACACCTTGTTTAAACCAATAACAGGGTACGATGCACAACAGAATGCTAGAGAAATAAAAGGTTTATTTTTGTTAGTTCACTTCTTACAATAAACTCTAGTACAGTGTATTGTATGTGAAGAACATTACAGTGGGAGTGTTTCCAAACAGCCTACACAGATACTACTTTACCTTACTGGAAGTTAAGTACAGGAGTGCTGCTTGCCCAAGCATTCTCTTGAAGTCTACATTAACACTGAGGAGTACAGCTGCCGTGATCCACAGTGACATGGACCTATGAGGAGTATCTTACTATTAATGGTCTTCAAACATCTAATTAGCTCCACACTTTACATTCATATTAGTAATAGGATGAGATCCTCAGAAGCACCTGTTTTATCAGACTTCCCCTTAAGACTGTCATATCAGATACACCGTTTATATTCTAAAATAATTTGGGCATAGCTGGAAATAGAGCCAAGCCATCCAACAGTTTGAGCCCAATGAGTGTTACAACGTAGGATTACAATGCTGTGATAAAATAACCTAAGAAGTTGCTACTCTTTGTGACCCAATTTGTTAATAGTGACCAACCTAGGATAATTTTTTATAAAGCATGCTGGAAAACTGGCATGTTTTCTCTATTTCTGGAGTAACACCCTACTATGTGTGAGGAAATCTTATTAAAAATATATACAAAACTAGCATAGTAACAGAATATCCAAGTCCTTATAAAACAGTATGTACATATATGGCACCTACCTAGAAATGACTGCAGGGAGCACGCAGTGCTAGGCAGCACGTGTCCTACTTCACTAACAGCTGGAGCAGACAGATAGGATGGGAAACATGCATTTTGTGGCATGTGTTCAATACAGCTATGATTGTCTTAGGGAGGAAAAATACCATCTGATGTTCCTTTGCAAGGACAGAAATCAGCCTTGTAGTGCTTAACACACACTAGAATCTTACCGACATTTTACTACCCACTACACACACAAAGGGATTCCCAAGCTGTTGCTTATAGGATTTTTTTCAAACAAGTACTCAGCAAGCTACAGCAGTCAGGGGCCAGAATGCATTTGTTACACAAGTCACAGGTTAGTGAGCTAAATTACAGCCAGATTCAATTCTTCTCAACACCTACAGGTGAGGCAACAGATGGTTAGACTTGTCAGTTAAAAACTGTGTAATGCAGTTGGTCCACTTAAAGTCAAGGCTGTAAAAATCCAGCCACTTAAAAATTCCATAGCGTTGGTCTTGCATAAGTTAAAGCAAACCAGTGCTGTCCGCAGTGCCATCGCTCCCCATGCAAACAGAACACAGAAATATAGTGCATCACATACAGAACCGTGGCTGGCATTCACAGGTTATTTAGCTGTTCTGATGCCTTTGAGTGGAATGTCTTTAGGAAACAAGATAGCTTGTATGTCAGATTGAAGTCCTGGTGAGTGCAGAATTTCTTCTTGCATCTAACTTAGCTGCATGCTGCATCACACTGTTTAGTTTATATTCCAACTGAATCACAATTTCAGTATTTTCTCCCATAAATTGTTGACAGAGTGCCTAAGGGCCTCAATGGAGCTGCAGCGGGCTGACAAGGTTGCGTCCTTTACTCATCATCTCCCTGCAGTAAAGTCAGCAGGGAGGGAATACATAAACTGTTCTCACTGCTTCTGTGCAAAGTGCCTTAAATTCAGCTCCCCTTTCAATTAAATCATAATTCCAGCATTAAAGCTGTGAGGCATTTGCACACAGTCTGCTCACAAACACTCCTACAGGGGCAGTAATTCTTAACCCAAACCTGCCAGAGCTCACAGCCAAACTCCATGGATTAACCCCTTCCTTGAGGGCCTGTGTGAGCTGATTTGGCAATGGTCATTACTGAACATCAGCCTTAAACCTCAGTAAGTTTAACCATTTCCTCTCTTGCATTAAACCAGCACTGTACAATTTAATCTGCCATTGCACAGCAATCTAGCAGGCAAATCAAATACAGGATGGTTACTACTGAGAAGTAATTTGAAATGAACTGTTAGATTTTCAAGATAATTTTTACAAGGCTGGGTTATTCTCCCATTACAAAAGGACTGTTATTGATGTCAAAGTGGCAGGTAAACTAAGTGGAGCATTAAGGATATTACACACCAAGAAACCTTTACACGTTATGCGATTGAAGGACTTACCCTTACCCAGTGTCTCAGATATGATCTAGGTTGCCTGCTGAATTGGAAAATGAGAAGTATCAGTTCAGAAAGCTGAACAATGAAAAACAAACAGAAAGAAACACAACAAAAAACTGTTTAGAAGACCCTTTTCAAAGGAGTTGCCCACGTCAAAAGCACCAGAGAATTATCACAGGAACCAAAGACAGCACACAGCTCCTCCACCAACATTTGTCAACTCAAACTCTGCAGTGCCCTGCTGACACCTCCCTTCCCTTCCCTAATATCCTGAGTTGGGTCAAACGTGACAACCTGGAACATTCAAACAAAGGGAAGGAAGAGGAAGAAAAGGAGGCAGGAGGGATGCACTGAACCAATAGTAACAGCTGTCCTGGAGCTCCTCAGATCAGGGAGGTGCTCAGCAGGACAGATAACTGACAGGCAGTGATACTCCAAAGGAACGATTCGACCTTCTGTTTCTGGGGGGTACAGCACTTACACAAACCAGAGCCAAGCAGGGCACTGACTGATGTAAAACCACACCATAGCAGTTCTCATCAACGGAAATGTTAGTCTCTAAAAATATTTAGAGACTGTACAATCTCCAGATGCATCTCAGAGTCTGTACGTCATCACCAGCAGCGCCCCTCTGAGAACAGCAAGCACTGGTTTGTTAAGGAGCACTGCAGCACAGCCTCTGAGTCCCGTGGGAAAATACACTGAAGGCCAAAGGTACTGATTGTCAAAGACAGGCTGGAAACAGGTGTGTGGGGGTTCTTCCAAACACTCCTTCACTACAATTAAATGTGTTCAGCATTTGAGAAAGGACTGACAAGCAGCTCAAGTTTCAATCTGGGATAATGTCATTCTTACTAACCCAACAGACAGAAGGGACTAGCTGACTTTGGTCCACGACTGCTCTGCTGGCTGTCTCTCCTTTTCAGCTCTCAAGGAAACTCAAAGCCTCTCCAGATACACCTGAAAAAGATCACTGCCTCAAGTTCTCTTTTAGCAAGTGTCTGATGTTCTACTAATCAACCATTCACAAATGAACTCCACAGCCTCTCTACAACATACAGATACAAAATGTTCAACAGACATAGAAACATCCTGAAGTAACTCTATAAAGAGAGATTGTGCTTTCATTTCCATATGTAGTTATTAACTATTGCACTCGCCTCCAACTTGAGAAAGCCAAGTACACTAACATCAATTACACGTGCAGTTTAGTCACTGAGAAGGAGAATCAAAGGAATGTCAACATATTAAGTGCAAATAAAGCAGGTGCTTTCAGCACACACGAATGTAACCACTAAATTATTAGAGAGACCTTTGATTTTCAAAACAGAACTGTAAGAGACGAACTCTACAGAAATCCTTGAAAACAAAGATCTGTGTCACAGTCTGGTACAGGAAAGCAGTTTTTTTCCTGGGCACTGTTAAGTAGTATTGTTGGATTCAGACAGTTTCTCAATTCCCATTCATCCTCAATTTCTGACCTTTGTAATTTTCAGTACATAAAAGATGCCACTTTTACGTATCAAACCTACTCAACACCCTGATGTCTTATAAAGACATAAAATGCCTCGCAAAATGGTTTAGCACAGTATTTCCTAAACTACCTTCGTAAGAGTTGACAACCCAGAAATTAGCACTCAATCTGCGAGCGTGGCATTCTTCGTAAGCTTAGAGAGTGTCGGTGTATTTCCTGCATCTGCCTTTCCTGCATTTGTCTTATTCTGTCTTTTTGCCACATCAGGTTTTGCGGCATAGGGTATCTCTGCGTGCCCTGCAAGCACCTGAAGGGAATTCTGACATGGCAGGCTGTTGCCCTACAGCGAGGCTGAGGCATGGGAGGCAGAAGCATCCAGCGCTTCCTCTCAGCGCAGTAGCGATAGGCCTCCTTCCTGTATTGCTTGTCAATATCATCACTGTTCTTCCACCCCCCAATGATGAAAACGTCATCTTTATAATAACAAATAGCTGCCCCTTCAATGCTGAGGACCTCTGGGGGTAAGCTTTCAAGTATCTCATCTGAGGCCCTGCCAGAGATCTTTACCTTGGCTTCCTCGTTATCTATAGGGTAACTCTTGGGGCAGCAGGATGCTGTATGGTAAAAGTTTGTGTTTGCAACCGACATCTGAAAAGAGCAGTAATTATCAATGAGCGGCAGAGACTCTACGTCCTGCCACTGCCTTGTTTCAGCATCGTATCTGATAATAACTGCCCTCAATCCATCTTCACTATCACTGTCAACAGGGGTACGAGCAGCAACATAAACAAACCGGTCTTCTACAGAAACAGCTTTGACGTCACGAAGGATCTTTGGTGCTGACTCCAGGTTATGCCATTTGTCTTGCTCGGGATTATAAACAGCTACATCTTTAAAGCCAGGACTGAAATTGCCATGTCCACCGATACTGTACAAGTTTCCTTTAACTTCGGTGAGGCCAAATGAGTGCTTTCTGGTTATTAAATTTGAGACTTGCTCCCAGATATTTCTGTTTGGATTATACCTTTCTACAGTCTTGGCAAATCCCGGTTCCATGGAGCCAGCCACATAAACGTAAGACTCTGTCACAGCAACAGCGTGCCCATCGAGATGGTTATGTATGTGCGGCAAGTTTACCCACCTATCTTCATCGATGAAATACCCCACGCACTCACTCAGGTAATCTCCTCCCTCCGACACACCACCGATCACCATAATGACATCCATGTTTTGTCCGAAGCGCGGCAGCAACGCAGCGGGACAGGCGGAATGCTGCAGGTTGCCAGACTGCAAGTTCTCAGACCTCAGGGCGTGACTCTCCACGGCGTCCGACACCAGCCTGACGCAGGCCTCGTTGCTGGACACCAGCCTCTCGGATTTGACGTGGCGCGTGAGGTACGTGGGCTTCATCTGAGACAGCCTGAGCAGCTTAAAGAGTTCCTCAAAGTACCTCTCCCTTTCCTCGGGGTTCCTCTGCACCCACTTCAGGACGGTCTCAAAGAGGATTTCTTCGGAGTCCACCGTGATCTCCGAGTCGGACAGCCAGTCCCTGACGAGGTGGAAGGGCAGCGTGTAGAACTCCTCGTCCTGGATGACCCTGTGGAAGTTCCTGCGGATCATGTCCTGCGCGCGCAGCGCCAGCTGGCTCAGCGAGTACATGTGGGCCAGGCTGTGCACCGCCACGCAGTTGGAGAGGTTCAGCTTCTTCTTGAGGAACTCCCCGCAGAACTCCTTCAGCCGGGTCAGCAGGAACCTGCGGGACGAACGGCACAAACGGCGCGCGGGCCGTCAGGCGACGCCCGCCCGCCCGGCCCGCCCGGCCCGCCCCGCTCACCTGTCGGCCATCTCCAGCACCTCGTGCACGTTGCCGGGGCCGACGCGGATGGCGCCGGTGTACATGAAGCCGATGACGGCCTCCACCGTGTCGGGGTCGGGGCCGCCCTCCGAGCTCCACTTCTGCAGCTCCACGCGGCCCGAGCGCGACTCGGCGAAGCCGCCCGAGAGCAGCGGCGTGAAGTACTCGGTGGCGGCCGCCAGCACGGAGCGGTGCGCGCGGTACTCGCGGGCCGCGCCGGGCCGCCCGCCGCCGAACGCCAGCGTGATGTCGCAGTACAGGCCGTGCCGGCGCTGCTCGTTCTGCCGCCAGGCCAGGTCGGAGCAGTGCGCCGGGCACCCGAACTCCTCCGCCTCCGCCTCCCCGTCCGCCCCGCCGCCCCGCGGGCCGCCGCCCTCCTCCTCCGCCGCCGGCGGGCCGGGCCCGGGCTGCGGCTGAGGGGAGGCCGCGGCCGCCGCCATCTTGTCCGACATGGCGGGCCGCCGCCGCGCGCCTGCGCGACTCTGCGCCGCGCCGCGCCGCCCCCTGGCGGCCGGCGGCGCCCGGGGAGCGCGGAACGGGGCGGGGCGGCGGCGCTCGGGCCGGGGGAGCCGAGCCGCGCGGAGGCTCCGCCCGCGCCGAGCGGCAGCGCTGCGCTCCGCTCCTCCTGGCGGCTGCGGGCGGCGCTCCGCAGGGCTCCCCGCCCCGACCCGCAACGCCGCGCTCGGCGCACGGCGGCCGAGCACCGCAGCCCGCGCTCCCCGCCGCTGTTTCCGCCCTGTGCCGCGGCGAAAGCCAAGCGCGGAGGTTTGACCGCTTTCGCGCCGCCGTCGCTGCCCAGGAAGCACCGCCCAGTTAGCGAGTAGTGTCGTTTATTGGAGCTCGTTACAAGACGCGGAGAGGAGGCTGAGGTTATTACCGAGATCGGGGGCGCAGCTGCAGGCGACACGGGAGTCTCGGCCCGCAGCAGCTGAGCCGTACGTGAGGAGCTGCTCGCATAAATACAGGCACTGGAATACGTGTAGTTTCACAGTTTTACAGCAGTATCTGGTACAACTTCACGTCTTAATTACTACGCTGCAGTTTGAGTAACATAGGTTATAGGCCAGCAGTGGTCCCACTATTCAGAGTACATCAGACTGATGAACGCACAGTAAACAACTGAAGAACAGCCCGAAGCCCCGCACTGAACAACCCACAGCCCCCATCAGCACTCATGGGAGCTGCCCCCACCATCAGGAGTTCAGTACAACTCTGATCCACGAGCAAAATTCCCCCAAACCATGAAAGCCTTTCCTGGAAACAAAAATAAAAACTAGAGAAAAAAAAATAAAGGACGAGAAACAGTATTAAATACAGCAGGTAACATGGAACATCACAAGTTTTGGTTTTTGATTAAGTTTCTATTCTCACAAAACAGCTGCTCTGCACAGTCTAACTAGGCAGCTCCTCGTCTGTACCAATGGCCTTTAAACACCAAAGTCCCACTTCTGGCTGTCCTCTGTGCAGGCTTCCAACTTCCTGACGTAGCGCTGAGGCAGTACTGAAAATCACATAGTCATGTGCTCTGGTAAAACGTAGGATATGTCATCCCAGGGGTGACGGTACAGACCTTGCTTCAATCTCTTCTGGTCCAGGTAGTGCCCTAAAAAGAAAGAGCCTTTGTTACAGCGTTTCTGAGCCTCCTCCTAGTCTTACTTTGCCTTGAAACAGTTTTGATTTCTGGACTCCTACAACTGGATGCATGTATTTCACAGGCTGACACCCCACACCTCCACCTCTGCCTTCTGTTCATGGCAACAGGGCACGGCCCTGTAGGATGGAAGCAGCAAGAACACAGCAAACTTACCAATGAATCCCATGCTCCTACCGAGTACAAAGATGCCATTAAGAGCCCCTATATCAATATATTCATCAGCTTCTTCCCTGGAAGAAAAACAAAACAACTTCTCGGTGTCTGTTTGGAAACCCTGGCCCCACACAAACTGGCAGCATGGCTCCTATTGTAATTACAGGAGCACAGTCCGAGAAATACGTACCGTGTAAAAGAGCCACAATTCCTGAGTACATCAACAAAGGCAACTCCAATAAAGCCATCCACATTCAGGATAAGATTTGGTTTCTGAAGGAAATACACAAAGATGTCAACAATGGCAAGTGATGTTCACCTGGTAATTTCCATGCTCAGGGTAACTTGGAGGCTGCCATAGCTGTGGACATGCACATCAAGTGATACACAAGGCTGTCCTTAATGCAATTAATGGCCAAGCAGCCCCAAACGGGTTATCCAGAGATTTTCACCCCCTGCTACCACTGTGTGCTAGCCACAAGAATCTGCACTTCCAGACCACGCCAGGCAATAAGAGGTTTTGGTCTGCTCAGCATTTTCTTGGTGTCCAAATGTCTTCAGCCTTATTAAACTGTAGTTGCACTTCAACAATTTATTAAGCTATGCCATTAAAATATAGTATTAACTCCTGGTCACTCCTCTCCCAGTAAGAAAAAGTGTTTGTGACAAGATAAATTCTAGCATTTCACCTTGGAAGTCGTAATTTTTTCTACTTCAAGCGCATAATCCAACAGCGGAGTGGCAGGGAAATGCTGCTTCACGTAGTCTTTGAGAATCTGAACTCTCATGTCTGGGTTATTTATCTACAAGTCAAAAACAAAATTAGCGATGCATCTAACACAGGTGTTAAATGTAAGATTTTACATTTTTCACATTTAAATGTAAGCTTCCTATTTATAGCTTCAGAGTTTAAGTGCTGAGAATTCTGCCAAACGCTGCCTCTGAGAGTTGCTGGTTTTCTTGCCTTTGTTTCCTCCCCATGTTTATAACAAAAACCAGAACATACACAAGAATAAAAACACACCTCCAATATGTACTAATAATGCAGTTTTCTTACAGATTTGACTCTGTGTCCAATGCCCATGATCAGTTTCCCTTCTTTCTTCATCTTGTTCACAAACTCCATAGGGATAATCCCACTGTCAAAAGCTTTGCTGAACACTTTCGCTGCAGCATCCAGCGCTCCACCAAACCGGTCACCCTGGGTTCAATACACAAAGAGAATTACAGCAAAGAACTCCACAAGCAAAGGTACAAAACAAGCACAGGATCATCTCTTCCCCATCCTCCACGTCTGTCAGTGTGGCAATTATGGAATTAAAGTTAGGCGGGCACCTGGGACAAAGTGTTTCATAACTCAATGAAGCGTCGATGCATAGCCACAGCACCTCCACTACAGGTGGCAGAAGGAAGGGAAATACAATCTGAATCATTACTTGTCAGTTCTACAGTAGGTTAGGCAGCCATAGAGGGACAATTTGGACAGCAATGTGGCTTCTACAGAGTCTCACACGTGAGAGAAGATAATCTTGTTCATAGAGAAATGGAGTGGATTTCAAACCTAGAACAGATAAACTGAACAGTAGGCATCTTCCAGTAGATTTTCACTTTCATCAGCTATAAGCATGGAATTTAGTGGAAATTCAGACTGTGAATGAACAGACAGGAGCTAGCACATAGCTCTGCAGCTGTCCCAAATCCTAGCTTACTAGTAATAAAACTAGGACTGAGTAGCATCTAACTAAATTGAATCTTCAGTACTTACAATAGTAAGAAGGCCTGAAGTGAGGCTTGAAACAAGATCTTTTCCAGCTCTTGCACAGACAATAGTGTTGTGGGCTCCAGACACAGCAGGCCCATGGTCTGCTGTTACCATCAAACACATCTCAATGAACTGGCAGGCATACTTTGGTAACCTGAGCAAGAGAGAGACTGAAGTCATTTATTGTAAAGAGATCAGAATAACAAAACACTCAGTGTTAGACTGGACAGTAACATCTACTTGAAGCTAGAGGGAGCAGTGGGATCATAGCAGCCAACAGTGCATCCTGGTACCTGCCTTTTCAGAGATGAGTAGAGTTTATTCTCTTTCTACAGGAAATTATTTAGACTATAAGACTATAAACTATAAGACTTCAAGCTAAAGGGTCTGGGTTTTCACAAAAGCTGCCTCACCTCCTTTGAAACCAGAGCAGGCCCAGAACCCCTCCAATTCCCATTTCTTCTTTGAAGACTTCAGTGATTGGCATGCCAGCATAAATCAGTTCCTGCCCTCTCTCATCACAGATGCTTGTCATGAAGGAAGCTGGCTTGCGGATCAGACCCAGCTCCTAGAATCACAGCATAAAGACGGATCTTAAACAATCCTCTTCAGAAACAAGGGGCAGCAAAAGACTTAAACTTGTCTGTTCCACAGCCTAGAACCAGTGCAGCAAGCAAGCTCACTGACAACACTATAAAGCCCAAGATGTAATCCCAAGCCAACACCATTATCATTCTAAATGTCCAGAATTATACCAAACATCTTGTCTGGTGCCTATGGAACCAAGAATCAAGTGAAGTAGCATAGCTCACCCTTGCCCAGGAATAATCCATTGGCACAGTTGGAGGAGGAACTTCCTCAGCTGGCTCAATCACTCTTTTTGCCACAAGATCCTGATAGACAGACCTAGGGGGAGAATCCTTTTATTAATTTCAGTCTTTTTGAATGACAAAAGAGACAGCCTTAGTCTAGACCTCAAGAACCCAGAATAAGCAGGAGTATCAGGCAGGACTATATTTCTTATCCATTTAAAGTCAAACACCCTAGGAGTTTTCATCCCCTGCTCAAGCAACTTACTGAATGACCTCTCCCAGCTCATCAAAACTCCGGGGAACAAACACACCAGCTTCTTTCAGGGCTTGATTCTTTGCAACAGCAGTTTCAGAAGCTTGGTTTGCACAAGCCCCTGCATGGCCAAACTGCACCTACAAACAACAGAAGTGAAAATCAGTAAGGAACGCAAGTTGTTTTTCTGTAAGCCAGTACATAACAGGAAACTGGTCACAGGAATCCCAGTGACTGCGCAATCTGCCTTCTTATTTGGGCTAACAGAACTCTTGGCTGCACTGCCTCCAGCAGGCTGCGCTGGGATCCTTGGACTGCATTTATGAACACACCAAATTCTTTGGAATCCTCCAGTGGCAAACTAAAGCAGCACAAAAAGCTTTCATTATTGATATTTCTGCATGTTTCTCTGCTATGGCTTAGGTAGGAGGAGCTGGCTTTTTTCCCCCCCTCTTGTCACACATAAATATATCCCCACTTCTGCACATACCTCTGAAGAAAACATGGTGGCACAAGTACCAATACACCAGCACACCACTGGCTTGGTGATACGGCCTTCTTTAATACCCCTACAGATTTTGTACTCTTCTGTACCTCCAATCTGAAGGGGAAAAGAGAAAGAGTTGAGCTCTTTCAAAAGCTTTTTTTTTTTTTTTTTTTTTTAAAGAAATCAGCTCTGAGATGCACATGGAAACACTTCTTGGTCCTACTGCACTGAATAATGGCTTCAGTCTCAGAATAAAGTCTATTTTTAAAGCGAGAATGTGTTGAATACATTCAATTTCTTCTGATTAAAGAAGCAGGAAATAAAACCTCAG